TTGGTGGTGCGGGTTATGATGATAATATGGTGATGGTGATGAAGATGATGGCACTTATGAAGTTAATGTAGATAATGATAATGATGACCGCAATGATGATTTTCATGTCAATATGATGATGGTAAATGATGTTAACAATGGTAATAGCTGTGATAGCAATAACAACAATAATAATGATAATATTGATAAAAATTATGACGATGATGATAATGGCAATGGTGATGATAATGATAAAAATAATGATAATGATAACAATGATGATTATAATGACAATAATGGTAATTATAATGATATAATAAACGAAAATGTAACACCAGTCGTTGTATTAGCGGTAATAATAACAGTGCAATATTAATAGAAAATATAGCTATAACAACAATTGTAATAAATATGCTGATAATATTAATGATAATAATGATAAGACTGTAGCAATCAATTATAATGGTGTTAATAATGAAAATATTATGGTGATACACATAGTCAATAATGTTGATAGTTCGAAGGATTACTATAACAACAATGATTGTAATGATAAAAATTATCATGAGGGTGATGGATATAATGATAGATAATTACAGTGGTGATAAAAAGATAATTATCATGATTACATTGACAGTAATAATAATAACAACAATACTGATGGTATTGATAACAATAGTAATGCTATTGATATTAATATTAGTACAAATAATGACAATGATAATACGACCAATAACAACCCCAGAAATAACAGGAAAACACCAACAACAGTAGTGAAGTTAAAAAGAAAAACAACGAAACAGTATTCCGCAATCAGTACATCTGTATGACAAAATCATTTTCCACCTATGGACAAGGCGGGGGCGGGTCTGTATAGGAGGCGGGTGGGTCTGTATAGGAAGCGGGTGGTGGGTCTGTATAGGAGCGGGTGATAGGAAGTGCTTGTGATCTGTATAGGAGCGGGGATAGGATCTGTATAGGAATGTCTGTATAGGGCGGGGAGGGAGGCGGGTGGGTCTGTATAGGGCGGGGTGGCTGTATAGGAAGTGCGGGTGGATCTGTATGGGAAACGAGCTTGAAGCGGGAGCGCCGACAGGAGTCGGTCGGCAACCTTGATTTCACTTCGCAGGACTGCCGCAGGGGCGTCTTCCGTTCCTACCGTTGGAGGGTCAGTCCTGCCTGGCGCTTCATGGTGGGGCGACGTCGATTCCATGCACGAGCACAACGGGGCCGCGACGTGAATGGGTTAAAACATACCGTAGCTCGTGAAGCGTTGTGTTGTGATAAAGAAGTGCTTCGGAACACGAACTGAGATTTGTTGAATATTCATCTAGTGTGATTTTTTTAATGTTTTCTTCGTGTCGTGAATTAATAGAAATATTAGTGAGTGGAAAGAAGTAGAGTGACTTTCAAGAACGAGAAAGGAGTAAAGACTAGAGCAGTCAGGTGAGTTTATAAAGGCAATGTTGCAGTGATTATATGTTTGTTGGGTTTTGCTTTTGTTCCTTTCGACAGGACCATATTTTTTCAAGGTTAGATAGTTATAACAGCTCTCATAATTGTTGTTACATTATCATTGATATTGTTATCACTATCATTTTCATGTTATTATTCTAATTACTACTACTACTACCATTGTTGGTTTTGTTGGCATTACTTTGTTATTGTTATTGTTATTATTATTCGTTATCATTATTACAATTTTTCATTATTATCATTATCATTATTATTATTGATGTTGTTACTGTTAACATTAATACAGTTATTTTTGTCATCATTATTATTAATACTACTACTATTATTATTATCATCATCATTATTGATGTTGTTACTGTTAACATTAATACGGTTCATCATCATCATCATCATCATCACATCATCATCATCATCATCATCACCTCCACCATTTAACAATTTTCATATCTATTTACCTATACATTTATTAGTATATTTCATACAACGCTTGTTATCACTTCCCTTGTATCGCTATCATCATTATTAGTATTATTATCAGTATTAATCCAAAGTCGCTTTTCTCGTTTTGTCGCTTTTCTTAGTATCACAACCACACGATAATGGTAAAGGTTATTATCATAATTATTTCCACAATTCATTATTAATAATGTAATTATTGTCATTATTATTTTTTTATCATTATTATTATTATTATTATTATTATTATTATTATTATTTTATTATTATCATTATTATTATGATGATTATTATTATTCATTATCATTATTATTGTTGTTGTTTCTATTGTTATTCTCATTATTATCAATATTATTATTTCTTTAGTATTAGTTTTATTGATTATTATTATGATAATCATAATCATTAATAATATTATCATTATTACTAACATTATTATCATCCTTGTTAATGTTGCTATCATTTTAGCATGATAATGACGGTTATTTTCGTTACAACAATTTTAACGATTCTGGCCGTTCCCTTATTCATCACAATCGTTTTTCTTTCTTTATTTCTCTTTTTTACCATAATAATTAATAATGTTTTGTTTGATGATATTGTTACCCAAATCATTATTTCCAAGTACTAATGTTCTATTGCTATCCCCAATATACATTATGATTAGTAGTATCATCATTATTAATGTTAATGGTAGTGGTAATAGTGTCAGTATTATTTTTAGTTAATGTCCATAGTCATAATAATCATCATCGCCATCGTTATTACTCTTTATATGAACATTATCATTACCATACTTATTACCATCATCTTCACCGTCTTTATCATTAACCTTATCATCATCATTACCATCATTACATTTTACCCGTTACTATCATTACTACTACTATTACAAATGATAGTTATGATGGTGATGATATTGATAATGCTTTTTCATGATTTCTGCTATCAGTGTTATGATCATGGTAATAGTAATGATTACAATTGCTATTTATTATTTCGGTTTATTGCTATGATAATTATGATCGCTTTTATTTTTGTTCTAATACGTTTTTCATTATTATCATCAATATTATTATTGTTAGTTTTGTTGTCACTTTTATAGTTATCATTATTGTTATATTATTGTTGCTGTTCTCATTATTGACATTATTTTCATTTTTTTATCATCGTTATCATTATAATCATTTTCATTGTTATTATTATCATCGTTTTCATCATCACCGTTTTATTATTACTGTTATTATTATTATTATTATCATTATTATTATTCTTCATATTGTTATGATCGTTATTATTACTATAAACATTATTATTATTGTTTTTATTTATATTTCGTCAGTATTATTGTTATTATCATTATCATTATGTTATCATTCTTCATATTATGTAATTATTATCTTTTTGTCATTATCATTATTCATTATCATTATCATTATTATTATTATTTGTAAACATTTTTATCATATTTTTATTGCCATTATTATTATTGTTATCATCATCATCATTGTTACCATTATCATTATTACTATAATTATCACCATTATCGTTATTATTCTTATTATTGTTAGTATTATCAATACTGTTATTCTTATTATTATCGTTATTGTTATCATCATTAATATTATTATTATCATTGTCATCATTATTATTTTATCAACACCATCATTATCATTATAACTGTTATTACTATTATTATCGTCATTATTATCAATGATATTATTACTATTATCTTCAACATGATCATCATTACTACCGTTTTCATTAGTATCACTATTATTACTATTATAATTAGCATTAGCATTATCATCATTGGTATTAATTTTATTGTTATCATTTCTGAAGTTTTATTATCATTATCATTATATATCTTTATGATATATCTTTAATTCCCCGTTATTATTATCATTATTATTATTATTATCATCATTAGTATTATTACTAATGATGTTATTATTATTATCATTGTTATTGTCATTATCATCATTCTTACCATTATTATTATTGTCATTATCATTAAAATTATCACTATTATTCTTTCCATTGTTGTTTTTGTTGCTACTGCTGTTATTGTTATTATATTAACATTACTATTGTCATAATTGTCAATATTATTACTGTTATCATTATTATTATCACCATCATCATCCTGACCTTTATGATTATCAATATCTTCACTATCATTATTCTACTTATCACTATTAATACCGTTATCATAATTATCATCATAATGATAATTACAATTATCATGATAATAATGGTGATACTACTACTACTTTTACCACTATTGCTTCTGCTACTACTACTGATAATGATATAAGTAACATTCAGAAGAATAATAGTGATAATAAAGATAATTATGATAGTAGTAGTAGTAGTAATAACAATAAGAACAATAATATTAACGATAAGATAATAACAATGATAACAAGAGGAAGAAAAAGAACAACACCAATAATACAAAATATAATAATAAAATGATAATGAAAATGGTCATAATGACAAGTATAACAACAACGATAATAATAATGATAGCAAAGAATAGGAAGATGATAATGATGGTGGTAATCATAATCATTATTAGCAAGACCTTCAACATTGGTTTAATTATCCTTCTTGCCATCATTATGATTCTTTGCCATTTGTAACTTTTTTAATCATGATAACATAATCTTTACAAGTTCAACTACCATTAGTATAATTTTCAGGATACTGATTATACGATCTGTATTATTAATCGTATGCAATTGTTGTTGATTTTAGAAACATTCACTAACAAATTGATTGAAAATGACAAAAAAATTATTCTTGATTTCATTGTTTCTCTTTCTTTTTTATTTCTTTGAATATATTAAATATTATTTTGCCCTTTAACTTATCCTTCAGTTATATTCTTGGGGGCAGAGCTACATATACATTTCTCTGCTTTGCAATTTTACGAGGAAAAAAAAATATCGATAAGTAGTAGGTAGTTAGTTCCGATAGTATCTACAGGAAAGCAGCAGTTTTCAGTTCTGAATTATGTAAACAGTTATTCGGCTACTGTAATTATGGTTACTGTAATTATTGCAATCACTTGTTTCTGAAATATGATAGCGGGTTTGAGGTTTTCTGTAATTCGTCTGGTCTGCAAAAATATGTTAGTCCACTTTTTAACAACCTAAATATTTGTCCGTTTTCTCATTAACGGATGAATGTCCTAGTCTGTCCGGCTCCTTACCTTAACCTGTATTAAGTTTTCCAGTTCAATTTATAGCTTAATTTTCACTTTGAGTTCATCATCTTTAAAATTCCATAAGATCTGATGTCTATGTCAATCTCAGTGCTTTATTTATTTGTTTATTATTATTAAATATTAGCATTCATTTTATCATTTTTAAAATCCTAGAGGACTTAATCTCCGTCTTCAAATTTTCTCATTCCAGGATGGCAACTCGAGGAGGAAGTAGGCGTCGTTTCTCCTCGCTGAAGCGGATTGTGTTGCTGGTCTTCGCCTTCTCAGCCGCGACCTCAGCTGCCGAAGTCTCATTGGAAGAAAAGGATCAGCACACAGGTATCCTTCTTTTATGATTAAATGCATCCTTCTCTAAGTTAAAGTACAGTTGTTGGTGTTACTTTTTATTCAGTGTTACAAAGGATGTCTACGATATTTGCAGATGTTGCTGAGCCCCGCCCGGGTGGAGTCTACCGCGGTCTTGAGCGTCTGTCCGCTCGCACGAACAGGCCTCTAGGCTCTTCTCTAGGGCACCGTGGAAGAATTCCTGAGACACTGAGGCCGAAACCAGAGACACTGAGTCCCGGACCTCTACAACCCCTGCAAGAACCTGCAATTCAATTCTATTCCTCTATCACTACCCCACAACACACTTTCTCGAGGGAACCTCCTCCCAAAGAGTCCGAGCAGCTTAAAGATAGGATTAACAAGCAGATCCAGGCTCGACTCGGGGCACAGAATTACCAGGGCCCTCAGCAACAAGAACAACCCTCAGCGAGGACACCAAGACCAGTTCCAGACGCATCTTTGTGGACAGCAGCGACTCAAGCTCCGAGAAGAAACGGTCCTGTTAATAGACAGGGTGAAAATATGGCATTCAGTATTCAGAGTCTCGTTAATCCTTCCACTCGTGCCCAAACGCAGGAACCACAGATTGATATCATTGGAGGTGTCGGCAATCCCGCACTCATGGGCGTTCCTATTAATTTGGGAAACTCTAACAGCTACCTCGTCCCTTCTGATAACAGGGAAACAACTCCACAGCCACTTTTTGGTGGCGTTGGAGACGGTCTTCGACAATCGTCACCCCTAGTGTTCAGTGGATCGTTTGGTAACAACAACAAGCAATTTGTGTCTCTCAGGAACCAGTCTCCAGTCCAGACTGCTTCACCATTAAACATTCAGAGTCTAAGTACCCCATCTCTTAATGGTTTTGGAAGCCTAAGTAATCCAAGTCTTGCTCAGCCTGGCCATCTATCTGCATCACAACCTGCTAATTTTAACCAGCTCGTGAAGGTTATGCAAGTTGCGTTTGATACTAACCCATCCTTAAGAAATTACATGCTTCGTTTATTATCTTCAGTCAAGACCCCATCATCTGGCATTGGTTCTTCCTTGGGTCCTCTGGGTCCTCAGATTTCTCGTGACACTGCTTTAAGTTTAAATGCTGGAACTCAAAATTTAGGCCAGGCAACAGCAACCCACCAGTCCAAACAGCAGAGTACTGCTGAACTACTATCTCAATATTATCAGCAAAGCTCCCCGAATCCCGCATATCAATTTCAACAAAATAATTTCCCACTGCGTTTTCCTGGTGCTTTCCACAGTGATGGCCTTTCGCCCGCTTCGTCGCCCCCAATCCTTCCTGCTGATCAGCCATATGTCCCAGCCGAACACAGCCCGCTGAGTATTGTCAATGCGCCCGCTGATGTCAGCCAAAATGACATCCTGGGCAACCCTTCTGTTAGTCCCTCGGCACAGATCACGCCGCAAGCTGCAACAGTTGCTTACAGCAACGTTCAAGGCTGCGTTAAAGACACCTGGTGTGCTTTGGCTTTGGCTGCAGCGGTTGCCATTGGGGCGACATCTGCCCTCGCTGTTCCATTTTTGGCACCTGCATTTTTGGGCCGTCGAAGGAGGGAGCTGCAGTATTTGGTCTTCTCACAGGAGGAGGCGCCAGTGTTCACCGACCACTTCATGAGGTTTATGAAAGGTAACATGACCGACATTCCAGAGGAAGAGATCATGTTATTCAAGTCGCTGAAGGATCCAGCAGACAATCGGGTGAAAAGGATGTTCGAAAATATCAAGCATTTCATTATTTCTAATGAAGATAAGCTTTTCAATATTACTGTACAAGAAATAAAGAATGAGAGACATATTCCCATTCCAGATGATATACTTCAGAGAATAAGAAATAAAAATCGCGAGAATTTACATGACTCCATTGCAGTAATGTTGGACCCTGAAACCCGAAACAATAATGAAGACCACTCAGGTAATGAAGCAAATATAACATCTGATCTACCAAACTCATCGACGGTATACAGGCCTCAGGAAGTCTATACACTGGTAACAGAAGCTCCATACGTTCC